TGGGAGGTAATTGGCAGCAGGCGGTCTCTCAAGTACCCAGGTCCAATACCATGAAGGGCTTTATAAGTTACGAAGCACTTTGAAGCGTATCCGGAGACCGATCGGTAGCCAGTGCAGCTCGCATTGCATTACTGGGAGGCTTTATGCATCAATTTTGACTCTTCAACCCTCCTCAAAGAGCCCAAGCCAAGCTAAACATTTGCGGCGTCTCCATTCTGTCTCCCCATTGTATCCTTGGACATAGTGTATCCCCCGCTAAACTTAGATAACCCTTTTCTTTAAAATGTGTCCCACAAAGATGAAAAAAGGGCTGCTAGCTCTGGCTTGTTTATTTTATTATTAAAGTTTCCAAATACCCACATCTGTGTGCCATCTGTATTCTCTTAATATTTTGTGTTGCAGCCTACGTTCTGCCAGATACTTTGATTTGGAGAAAAAGCAAAACACGGTTCTTTTTAATATATAATAATAATAATAGTAGCATAGTTATCATCAATAGCAAGGTTTCTCTTTGTGAAAATATTTCCTGCTCTTCTTAAAAAAATAATCTCTTCCATTTTTCAGAAAACCCTGAACAAGCTGCCCTCTGTTTTGTGTCTGGGATTTGCATTGGACTTCTCTTGACTTTGTTGGCTTTAGTCGTCCAAATCTCTTGTCAAACTGATTGCAAACAGTCATCAACCCAAAGGCCATCATGCAACAGTGACGGTAGCTGGAGTGACAGTGACTCAGATACTACCTCAGATCTGTCCGTGCGACGGCAACGCCGATTTGAACGGACTTTGAACATGAATGTCTTTACTTCGGCTGAGGAGCTTGAGAGAGCGCAACGGCTGGAGGAAAGGGAGCGCATCATCCGAGAGATATGGATGAATGGCAGCCAGATATTCCAGGAACCAGGAGCCTGAATCGCTACTATTGATGGCAATAAATAGGACTGAACTCATGGGGTCTATTAAGTCTGATGGGAAGAGGAATGAAGTCCTACTCTAGAAAAGCAATATTTTTACTTTACCCTTTCAGTCTAAGGACAACCTTTTTCAATATTTGGCTCAGGTTGCAAAGTTGGGGGAAAGGGGCGGGTTTGTTTCTTCTCAACGCTTTGGTTGCTACAAATTGGGAGAGCTAATGAGTGATACATAAAAAGGTTTTCTCCTCTTTTCCTCCCAACTAACTATTCTAAAGATAAGTTGCAAAAGGAAGTACTTTCGCTTCTTCTTCTTCTTTAGACTTCACTTTCAAATTTGGTCCCCAAAATGACCTCACGATACAACATTACTAAACTCCCTGCTCTACTTGATGTTGCTGTTAAAAAATGAATGGGAAACTGGCATGCTGCAAAGCAAGACAGTGATCTCCCACATTTCCCAGATAATTTATATCCAACAAGGTCTGGGGTCCTCCTATAGAAATCAGAGGGGTTCTTTGGAGATAAAATTCAAAATGTTGGTGTTCGTGCTTTGTTTGCTGTCTGCTTTGTGATTGGCCACATTCACCATGGCATGGCAGCCATTTTCTAAGAGTGCCTATCTCTTCCAAATTTCAGATGTTTACCCATTGGGACAAAAAGGTGGAGAACCATTGTTCCACCAGATCACTTTTTCCTCCTGCTGTTCATAGCAGGAATCAGAGTTCTGTTCCTCCTGTGCAGCTGATGCCTTCTGGGGAAAGCAGGCAGGGCTCTGATCAAATGAAGGAGTGGGGTATGTCCCTCTCAGCTGTGCTCTATAAATCTTCTTCACCCTGCAGATTTGCTGAAATTAAGCTATCCATCTCCTTAATTCTGACAATCACTGTTCTCCCCTGGTTAACCACCATCTTCACCAACAATTTTTCTTGAATTTTTATTGGAAATAAAGGGATATATTGTACAAGATGAAAGGCTCCACTTTATATTTGATGAAAGGCTCACTTTATATTTTAGAAAATGTGAGATTTATGGGTGGAATCTTCCTCCGGGCACATGTCTAAAATATGAATTTTAACCTGCTTAATGTTTTAATAATAACAAACCTGCTAGATATTATGACTGCCCTTACTAACCAAAAAAGCAGATCTAAAATAAAATATACAGTTTCTGAGGTCTGTGAGAAGTTATGGGCAAAGAACATGAAAAGCCTGGAGCAATCACTGGCAGCACTTGTTCAAGAGAAAGAAAGATGGGAAAATGCTAGCAAGCATTCATACTTGCCCATAAGCTGTAATTAACAAAGCATCCAAGCATGCCTTAATAGAAGACAATACCTGATAAAAGAGACATAGAAGCAGAAAGGTGAACAATTATCTTGTGACTTTGAAAAGTCATGGCAATGACCTAATTTTTCTTTCCTTCCCACATATGCTTCAAAACTGGGCATTTCCACATTATGAAATCAGCTTGCTAGTTGCACATTCACTAATACATTGTGTTATTTAAGACTGTGTTTTAAATCTTGCTTCAGTGGCAGCATCCCCCCCACCCCCCCCACACAACTCAGGGATGTAAAATTATCCTCTCAACTCAAGTTCCTACATTCCCCCTCCTTGCTGTTGTTTTCTATTGGGTCTTCTTCCAATCAATAATTTTATATTAGTATAGGAATTGTGTGAGTTTCAAATATATTGTTAGCAACCTCAAAATGATTGTCAGGATTTTATGAGTTCCTATATGTGTGTATATATATGCCATTTGAAAGTACTGATTAAAATTGTTTTCTTATAACTTGTGCTATAGTATTTTATATAATTTAGTCCCTCACAACAAAAAGAAAAAAAGAAAAAGAGGCTGTACTTTATAAATTCAAAATGGAACCAAGAAAAGTTAAGATTCTGCCCTATGCAGATAAAATCTGTCTGTCGGCTTGCCTGCCTGCCTGCCCACCCGCCTGCCCATCATCCATCCATCCATCCATCCATCCATCCATCCATCCATCCATCCATCCATCCATCCATCTCTCGTCTGTCTGTCTGTCTGTCTGTCTGTCTATTATCTATCTATCTATCTATCTATCTATCTATCTATCTATCTATCTATCTATCTATCTATCTA